AACTCAGATCTTGGGGTTATGTTGCAAGGTCCTTTACAGTACCCAACTGCACCCCTAGCTCAGAGGGAAGCCACCAGCAGTAGGAGTGAGGTGTATAATCAGAGAGCACAGGTGAAGAAAACACAAACTGCTGGAGATGACCTGTCAGGAGATGCCAGTTACCAAGGTGATTACTGAGGAAAGCCAGCAAGTTAGTGAGGACCACGGTGGCTCTGCACCATGTACAAGCTTGAACTGCACCAGAATTGTGAAGGAGGTATTGGGGCCTCAAAGGAAAAGTTCCATGTGAGAGTGACAGGAAGCAGAACAGCTCTCTGGAACTAATTAGAAATGCTTGTGAGTCTGCAGTTTCCAGTAGCAATATACTGCACCTTTCTCCCTTGACTCCTTTCTCTTATGGAAGAAAGACAAGCCTCTGAGATATGCAAGCAAAGCTACAAACTGCTAGTGGAATCCCTTAGAAACAGACTGGATGGGGCCTCCCATCACTAGTTTCCACGGCCCTCAGGCCCAGAGTCTCTGCGAAGTGACTAGTCAGGGTAGTTACTGTGCAAAGCTTTCAAAGTAAAATGAATGACATAAGTCAAAGGACCACCAAGACAACCACATTAACCTCTGAAGGCAAGAAGAGAAACAAAAGAACTAAGTAAGGAAAATACAGGAGACAGAGCATCCAAAGAGAAGTTTGCCTTGATTCAATGTTTGCATAAGATTGCCCTTTAATGAAGACATCGATTGTCTGATTGCAGTACTGGAGACTGAACCCAGAACCTTCACACTGAACTACATCTCCAGACCTTAAAAAAAATTAAAAAAAAAACAACTTTGAAGCAGCTAAATTGCTACATTCTCCGCAGGCTTGGCTCCAACTTGTGATCCTCCTGCCTCAGACTCCCAGAATTCCGGGATTACAAGTGTGCACCGCCATACCCAGTCAATATTTATTTCTTACAGAGTAAAGTGTGGAAGTTGGTGGCTTAAATCTGTGGGATCTTGATTAAAAAATTCTCAAGAGGATTGGGAGCAAAGTTGAAGGTCTGACAACACCACGTAGTTACCACGGGGTGGCAGCATATCTATACTAAAGACTGAGTGTAAGAAGGTACGTGCAAGGTAGGTAGGTGTGTGTGTGTGCATGTGTGCGCGTGTGCTCCTGCAAGTTTAAGAGAAATAAATTCGAGCAGAATCATAAAATCTCAAGGTCAGAGCTCAACACTCCCTCACAGCTCCCCTTCACTTAACACGGAGTCTCCTCTATAAGTAGGGACTTCATTACATCCCTTCCCTAAACTCCAGTCAGAAAGGGGCAGATTTGTTCCAGCACCAGTTAAGGGATCTTCAAAGTACTGGTAGTGAACTGGCCTAAAGCCTTGCACTCTATAATGTTAATCCTGCCAGCAAGTGAGTGAGTAAGCAAGCATAATTTCCCCAGCGGTTTATTTTCAGTGTCTAAGAGTTACCATGATGAATGGCAGCAAGGGTAGGGCACTGATAAACGTGGCTAATTAGACATTTAGAAATAAGTTCTGTAAAGTGCCTATGCCAGGGCTATCATTCAAACCCCAGAAAGGTGGGTCCTCAATCTCAGTCTGATGGGAGGTAGACTTGTCCTGGAACTGGAAAATTCAGATTCCTGATACACTCCTCCCCTGATGGGACTTAAAAATGTTAACTAAATCTTGGAGCCTTCTTTTCTCCCCTGTAAAATGGAGATAATCCTATTCAATAAGCCTGAGGATGGTCAGATAAGACAAGAGAAAAAAAGGAGTCAGTCAACTTCAAAGAGCTGCCAGATGTTTGAGGTATGCTGGATAGTGCTGAAATAAGCATCTCTGATTTATCAGTTTGGTCTCTACCCTATTTCTTTATGAACTAAGCTCCTCACCAGGTCCAAGAAGCTACACCTTTGAGCCATCAGGGAAATGATCATTCTCAAGGCTACACCCAACAATCACAGAGACAGAAACAAACCAATCCATGTCTAAAGTAAATCCAGAGATGTTAGTATCTGGTGAATGAAATATGTGGTAGGTTTCCACTGCTGATCTCAAACACAGCCCTGTTCTACAAACCTGCCTCCCTCTTGATAGTCTCCTAGTTCCATGACCACCAGAAACCCCTGGCCCCTGGGGACTTTAGAGGTTGCCAACCTAGCTCCACACCACACTACTGCCTTGGGAAATGCTGGTAGGCTTCACTGTTTCCTCTGTGAAGAGCACAGCAAACAATAATGGATGCCTTTAGCATTCCCTGTAGAATTCAGTATTGTGGTGGAGCAATTTCATGTACTAGAGCATTGAAGGGAGAAAACGAGTAGAGAATTCCTTAATTGTTCCACAGCTGCATAACTAGGAGACAAGGCAGAAATGATGTACAGTCTCTGGGCTCTCAAATGGGTCTTGGTGTTTCCCCAAGTATGCTTTTGTTTCACAGTGGAAAGGACTGGTTTTGGTTCTCCCAACTCTAGCACCTAGGACAAGCAAGTACCCCAAACATAGTAGATGCTCCTGAAACGCTTGTCAGCTGTGAGGGCAGATAATGGATATGTAAGTGCAGGGAATGCCAGAGGCTGTTTTGTTATCTGGAACCTGGAGCTGCAAAAAAGGGAAGCATGGCTACAGAGCCTGAGGGGTTTTCTATAGGAAACTAGAACTAAAATTTGGTGATAGATGAAAATTTCTGACTTGGGATAAAAAATATGGTCCTAGAGACAGACCTGCATCCAAATCTGCGCTTTATGAGATTTCCTGGCTGTGACACTTTGGGAAAGTTGTTTAATCTCTTGGTGCCTTGGTTTCCCCATTTGTAAAGTGCAGGTTATAAAAACATCCCTGCAGGGCTGTTTTAAGGATTCAATGAGAAAGAGTGTGGATAGTATGGATGATGCTGTTCCACCTCACATCCCTGCCAGGCCACAGCTCATTGAGGAAAAGTTTAACCAGTGCTTCTGGTTCTCCCAGTCAAGGGTCAGAAAGGGACATCTTTCATCTCAGAGGAGAAGCCCATCTGACTTGGGAATGCCTAACAAACACCGGCCTCTATACCCTTCCAGGTGCTAGAGTTGGTGTCAAAGTGTTTATTGGTGTCAGGGACCACCTCTGGCCCCCCACCAGTCTGTGCCTCCTGCTCCAAGGCACCCTCATGATGCCCACTTTTCTGTGAGTTCATGGAAAGTTAGATCTCTTTCCTCAGGTCCTGAAAAGGTGTCAATACTCAGTTTAGCCCCTCCCAACAGCCCTCCAGCATAAACCTGGCATGTTGGTTTCTTGATACTACTCATTAGATCTAGAAGGAAAGAAGGCTGTCTTAGGCAGTGTTTCAGAGTGCTCAGCACTTGAGAGCAAATAGCAATAGCACATTAATAAGTGACGTGGAGGGTGTGCTGTGGGAATCTCCTGCTTCCTCACCAGCACATATAGTGAAATCCAATGTTAATTAAATCAGCTGTTCGCTGAGGGGGGGACACTGCCCCCTAGTGGGTATTTTGAAGATCCATGAGGGTGATCCAGGGACACTGTGATGTGTGAGACAGCCCTACTCAATGAAGGGACTTTCAATATCCCCCTAGATATACATAGGTGAGAAGAACTGCTTTGAGGATGAGGATTTAGCTCAGTGGTGCCACGCCTGCCTCACAAGCGCAAGGTCCCAATTTCAATCCCTGGTACCCACCCCCCAAAAAAACTGCTTTGATACATACTTACACATATATATGTGGTTGGACATATGTGTACATTTGTATGTGTTTTTATTTAACACAAGCAGAGACAAGGAAAAAGTTGATAAACATACCCCTACGAAACTATTACTAATGTCATATTGGTTGGGTGTCACACAGACTTTATCAATTCAGTTATATATTCTTATTTTATTTCATTTTTATAAAATACATTAATTTTGAAATTAGAAAGAACAAGATAACCAAACACAGGCAACATTTGTTAAGCAATTTAAAAGAAAAATCATATCGTGGAGCATGACATTTTGTAAAATAGTTTGTTATACATTAATCCAAATAAAATCAAGTTATCCCCTCCCACAAAAAAACTGCTTATAATTATCTGATCTTAAAACCTAAACTTTCATATATAAACATATTTTATTTTTGCATACACAGTATTTTCCAGGAATTCAATTATTATGAGATTGTGAAGTGTTGTCTACCATTTAGGAAAACCAGGCACTGATACCAGCACTGCTCACAGCATTTAAGTCAAGAAAATTGACATATGTCAGTCAACATCTGGGGATATGATATTGACAGTGATTCTGAATGTGGGTGTCTTCATGGGACTGTGTCACATGGCTTCATGTATAGTCATGCCTTAGTATGACCCTTCATTTCTCTTTTATATTCCAATTAGGGTGGTATATTTGATTTCTAAGAGTTTCATCAGCAGGCAGGTTATATTATATATGAATCTTATATCAGAGTATTAAATAGGGTTTTAAATGTTTGCTATAAAGAGGGTCTGAGAGGATAAGTGTAGTGATGTACATCTATAATGCCCAAAACTCAGGAAGCTGAGGCAGGAGGATCTCAAGGTCAAGGCCAGCCTAGGCAACTTAGCAAGACACTGTCTCAAAATTTTAAAAACTAAAATAAAAAATGGCTGAGGCCACAGCTCAGTGGTGTGTTCCTGGGCTCAAGCCTTAGCACCACAGAAGGGAGGAAGCAAGGAAGGAAGGAAGGAAGGAAGGAAGGAACCCATTGATACTGGCAGGGCTGAGAGCTGCTGAGTGAGCTTCTCAGATCACAAGGCAATGCCTTCATGAATGATTAATTCCAGGCAAGTCTTCACAGCAGACACAGCATCGGAAGTCTTGAGAGAGATCTGCTTGCCACAGACAGCACATGACTACAGACCTAATGCCATGTAACACTGAATCTTCTCTCTGGGGCAGGTTGGGGTAAACAGGGACTTCTCCACTACAGACCAGAATGAAGACAGCCATTTCTCAGCAGAAACATGGAAGCAGAACTGGGCTGGGCTACTTACAGAGGTCCTCAGTAGCCCCTGGGGCAAAGGCAGCCATGGACTCGTAAAGCTCCTCGTCACAACCAGGATTGAGGGAGCATTTCATGAGCAGGTCTGTGGACAGGTGGGCCATGGACTCATACACAGAGTCAGCCTCCTCTCCATGCATCAGCTCTTCTTTAATGTGGCTCTTCAGCATGTCCACAGTCTCCTGTAAGAGAAGATGGGACCCATGAGCATGCTGAGGCACCTGGCGGTTGGGGCGGGGTCAGGCCTGACAGGACCTGTGGCCAGAAAAGCGAGCATTCACACAAGTCAGGTCTGTAGGTGCTTGGCATATCTGTAGTCCCTGCCTGGCTGCAAGCTCCTCTGGGCCAGATTCATGCCTTCTTTTCTTTCCTTGATTTATATTTTCTGGGGTTTTTTTTCTTTTTTTCTTTCGGTACCGGGGATCAAACTCGGGACCTTGCAAGGCAGGCGGAGGCACCACTGAGCTAAATCCCCAGCCCTATGTTATCTGTTTTAATCTTCATATTTTCCCTCCGTGCTAATCACAGGGTTATGCATGCACTTAAGAGATTCTGGTTAAATGTTGAATGACAAGAGGATACAAATTAAAAGCTACTTTCTCATAACCATCTACTGTGGGTCAGTTCCAGTGCTGTGTATATGACTATACAATGTCTCATACTATCCTTTCCACACTCCTTGAGATACTGTACCAATCCCTAGTTCACAGATGAGAAAAACAAAGCTCAAAAAACTAGTCCTTTACTGTCAGGCTTGCAATCCCAGCTTTGACCTTTCTACTACATCCTAGTAACTTCTCAAAAGGAAATAAATGACAAAAGAGGATGTGGCCTTTGCTGACTAGCCACACAGAAATGCAAGTGGACTCAGCAAGGCTGCCACCAAGGTGTTCCTGCAATTGCACAGAGTCCTCATCCCTTATGGAAGCTTCTCCAAAGTGCCAACAGTTCCTAAGGCTTCCTCCCTCAGTTTCATGCTCTAGATGCTCAAGAAGAGAGCTGATCTTAGATGAAGAGCACTGGCATCAGAGAGGCTGCCTGCCCTGCTGTCATTCTGCCTCCAGTAGTTGTGAAGCTAGAGAGCTGACTTCTCCAAATCCTGGCAAGAAATTTTGATATGTCACAATCCTTATTTCAGCTCCAACCCACAAAAATCCTCATTTTTACAATCGCTACCCAAGAGAACCAATCTTTGACTGATACTCTGTGTTGGCTTCCTGGTGAGGACCAACCAAGGGGACCAGGCGACAGCTGTGAAGTGTGCTGGAGACTCCAGCTCTGGCATGTGGTTTCGATGTGGTAGAAAAGAAAACAGGAAAGTTCTGAGAGACTAAGTAACATCTAGGGACAACTTTTCAGTAGGAAGCCTAAAGAAAAGAAAGGAAGGTGGTGGGAGGTGACTACAGTTAGAGGTAAAGATGATACAAGAAATGTGAACAAGATTAGCTTCAGGGGGCCAGGAATTTAGCTCAGTGGTTCTGGCGCCTGCCTTTCAAGCGCAAGGTTCTAAATTCGATCCCCAATACCAAAAAAAAAAAAAAAGATTAGCTTCAGGGCACACTGAAAGTGCATCTGTAAAGTCTCCTGTTATACAGAGCAGGATAATAGACCCCTGCTTTAGCACTGAATTAGGTTCAAGTCCCATCTCCACCTTTACTAGTGCTGGATCCAAGCATAATCATCTGGCCTTTCTAAGTCCTTTTCCTCATTTACAAAATGGGAATCACAATACTGTCAAGGTTATGGTGAGGATTAAATAAGATAATGTATTTGCCAATCAAATAAATTAAATATATATTAATCACGATAACATACACACTATGTCCTCAATAAAAACTACTGACAACAGGCCGGGGATTTAGCTCAGTGGTTTCACCGCCTATTTCCCAAACGCAAGGACCCAAGTTCAATCCCCGGTACCAAAGAAAAAAAAACTATTGACAAGAAAATGAAATGTCACATTGTGCATACGTTTGTGATTTCAAAGTAATACCAATTCGATACTCCCAGACTGTAAGCACTTTTTAGAACCATTCATGTTAGTAAGGCCCAAAAGAATGGTTTCCACTATTCTATTCATTTGAAATATTTACACCCCAAAACATTGAGAAATCTCCTGTATCAGCCTGGCTGAGTCACTGCCTTGTAGATCTTCCAATTACAAAGTAAAGAGTTAAATTTCTGGGGAGGTGTCAGGCTTATTCCTGTCGGGAGGTAAACAGCAAGACTGGATTATGTTCACTGCTCCTTTAGGGGTCACAGCTCCACATACCAGGCTAAGCTATTCTCACATGCTCTCTGTGAGTCTGTGAAGGACAAAGAAAATGAGAAAGGAGTGGAGTCAGGAAAAGCAGCTGCCTCTAGGACAAAGGAAGCAATGAAATAAAATGTAAGCATTTCTAGCATTGGTGGTGCACACCTGTGATCCTAGCTACTTGGGAGGCTGAGACTAGAGGATTGCAAGTTTGAAGGCACTTTGGACAATTTTGTGAGACCCTGTCTCAAAAACAGCTGGGGGTGTAGCTCAGTGGTAGAATGTTAGCATGTACAAGGCCCTGGTTTCAGTTTCCAGTGCATGTGCATGCACACACATACACACACACACACACATGAACATATGCACAAAATGTAGTCGTGGCTTGAGATCAGATTCAAAGAAAGACCCAGAAGTCAATGATCAATGAAGAGGTAGGGTCCCAGAGCCAGATAAGCATACAATCTGGGTATATCTACTTATCTTAATTTTGTACCCAGGCAGAAGGTAAGAAAGAAGCTATTAGCAGGAGTTGAGTTGCTACCATTGGCCTCCCTGATGCCTCCTTGGGTAAAGGGGCCTACTGAGGTCCTGATAAGGAAAGATCCAGTCCTGATACCATTCACCTGGGCCCAAAGGTGGGCAAGGTGGCTGAGAACATCCCACCAAAGGAGCTTTGGTGGTGGGTGGGAAGATGAGAGAAGAAGATTGATCAACATCAATCTTCAGCAGATTCACTTTATAAATGTTTCTGGCAACTCTTTTAGGGTGGATCTCAGTGCTTTGCACATATTATTTCCCTTTATCCTCAAAATAATTGTATAAGCAGAAGTATTGTGATCTTCCTTCTGCATATTAGGAAACTGAGAGATAGGAAACCTGACGCCTGCAGTCACATGGTGTTCAGAAATTTGGACCCTGGTCCATATGACTGCAAGGTTCATCTCTTAAGCCCACACACTGCCCACTGCCAGAAGAGACACACAAGGACATGCCAGAGATGAAATCTGTCTGTATCTTTGGTGAAAAGACAGCCCCATAACAACACAGTATATTTCCAATCACGGAGTTTCTTGCCTTGACCTTACCACGTACTCATCGATGAACTGCCGCAAATCCCTGAAGCCATGTTTCTCAGCGATTGTGTTGGGGTAGTGGCCATGCTTGTTGGCCACACTGTATGCCTGGAGGGCCCCTGGGCAGGTAAGCAGCAAGGCAGTGAGGTTCTTCAGCCCATACTTCGCAGCAAAATGCAACAAGGTAGGCAGCTCTTCATTCCTCTGATCTGAAAAAATGTCAGGATAATTTAACTGACAGATAAAGAATGAAGGCACGGTATACTCTTGTTCAAGGGATTAAGCTGTAAAGCCGAGCATGTCATCCAGGAGGCACTCAATCATCACTTATTGGCTGACTGTCCTGACACCTTATAGTTTCCTCGGGGGCATCATGGAAGATCATATACTGTACACACGTGACAGAGGAAATAATACTTTAATTAACTAGCAGATCTAATCATTAATAAAATAACTTTCTTTCTCGAAAAGTATTGGAAAGTTCTTAGAAACAGTACTAATTCAAAAGATGTTGATTTCTTCTTATTCTTTTTTTTTTCTTTTTTGTACTGCTAGATATTGAAACCAGGGCCTCACAAACTCTAGGCAAGTATTCCACCACTGAGTTACACCCCTACTCCTCAAAAGGTGCTAATTTCTAAAAGATTAAAGAGCAAGCACAAAGTGTGACAGGAATCATGTTTTGACCTTCTTGCAAAGCTCAGAGCACTCTGAAACTATTTTTTGTCCTGATTAAGAAGCCCATCCTGTTAGTTCTTATTCCTAATTTCACAATAAGTACGCCAAGAAAATACACATGTTTGTGTTGTGGAATTGGAGCACAACTTTTTTTTCATAAAATTTGATTTCTAGGCCCAACAATTATGCATATGTGTGTATAAATGGTACATACACATATATAATGTTAATATGACAAACCCAGCATCCTAGTCATCAGAATTTGATACTTGGGATGAAGGGCCTAAATAGGTCCCTGGGATCTCCCGTGGTCAGGCTATGAGATACTCTCTCTTGAGCCCCAAGTGTAAAAACAGAAAGTAGTAACATCTACCAGAAATAAGCAGGAACATTCCAGTGGGAAAATAGGGAGAAGCAAGAAAGAGTATGTCTCAGAAGAATGCTTCAAAGGAGACACAGCCTCATTTTAGAGTTCTTAGGCTAAGGAAAGATGGAACATAGGGAGAAGGTTACCAGAGACTTGGGTCTCCTTTGTGCAGGGCCACCACAATGTGAAGGAAGAGTAGTGTTACGGTTTGGTTCTGGATGTCCCTCCAAAGCCTCATGCAGTCAGAGGTAGCTGAACCTGGAATGTGTGATGCTTGGATTAAGGGTGTATGATTCCTAAAACACTACACATGAGTCAGTGGTTTTGCACCACCCTAATCCAAGTAGTCTGGATGCGATAAAAGAGCAGAAAGTCACGGTGAGGGTCTCTTGTTGCCTTTGCTACCTTGTGTATATCATGTTGTTTCTCCTCTGTGATGTCTGTTTGTCATCCCTATTTTTTTTTTTTTTTGGTACCGGGGATCAAAATCCGGTCCTTGAGCTTGCGCAGCAGGCAACGAAACCACTGAGCTAAATCCCAGGCCCTGCCATCCCTATTTTAAAGCCAGCCAATTATGGACTGAAACCTCTATGAACTGTAATCCAAATACACCCCTTCCCCTCTAACGTTTAGTGCCAGGTATTTTGTCTCAGCAATGAGAGAAAAATAACTAACACAGTGGTATCCCTAGAAACAGTACAAAAGTATCTTTTCTGGAGCACTGGGCACAATCCCAGTACAAGTGGTATAACTCTCCCAGTCCCCAGCATATTACATGTGTACAAGGGCCTGTTCCTGCCTCATGGGACAAATATTTGTTTAGAGCCCACCAGGAGCCAGCCACCTGGAAACAGTTCCACCCCTTGCTGAGCTGACAACCTAGCAAAGAAGACAGACACAGCCTGCAAGCACTGAAACAGAGCCCCCAGCATGTTAGGGGGAGCCCACAGCAGGTGGTGGAAGCTGCTAGAGGTTTGGAGAAACCCTTAAGCTGCTGCAGGGAGGTGAAGGGAAATTAGCCAGATGAATGGCAACTGAGGCAAGAACTAAGAAACTGTGTTTCCACGAGTGGACTAGCAAGACACAGCAGAGAGAAGTACATGTCATTGCAGTGCAGCACGGAAGCCAAGAGGCAGTGCAAAGACAGGTGAAGGCAGAAACCTGGGGGTCCTTCGGGAAGGCTAGAAGCTAAGCAGGCTAAGAAGGTTAAAGCTTCTTAGGCAAATGGGAACCACACGGGTATTTTGAAGGGGGTGAGGTGCAGTTGTGTGCCCATACTGACATTTCAGTCAATAACAGAGGTCCTATAAGATTAGAACAAAGCTGAAAAGCTCCTGCCCACGAGTGACACTGTAGCCACTGTAGTATCACAGCACAAGGCATTACAGTACTTGCATGTCTGTGATGTTGCTACTGTGAACAAACCTACTCTGATGTCAACTGTATAAAAGCATAGCACATATAATTATGTACAGTGCGTAACACTTAATGACAATAAGTGATTATGTTCCTGGCTTATGTACTTTGCATACTATACTTTTTATCATTATTTTAGACTATATTCCTCCTACTTAAAAAAGGGTTATAAAACAGTATGCTGTGTTACACTGTCAGCAGCCTCACACACAGTGTTTATTGAATCTCTTGGTTGCATCATTTTCTTGTGCTTAATTTAATTTTGTTCATCTTGGGCCCTAGGTAGGCCATGTGTACACACATGTGTATCCACACATGTATACCACATATATAGATATAGATAGTGCATATAGCTTATAGCTTGGGTGGCTAGCAGCCTATAGCACCTAGGTTTACATAAATACACACTGCAAGGCTCATACAATGATGAAATCACCTAACTATGTATTTCTTAGAAGACAGCCCCATTGTTAAGCAATGTATGACTATATTCAGATGTGCAACTGAGAAGAATCTGTGGCCACACAGTGAAGCATGAGTCCTTCTCAAAGGATAGGTTGTAGAGCAGAGTGCTGATTGGAGCTGAAACTACCAGGCCAGGATCAACCCACTGAGGGTCTCGTTTGACTGTTGACTTACTTGTCATCATATCTTCTTCTTCCAGCTGGTTGATTCCAAAAAGGTGCAGTCCACTTGCAGGGATGTTGTTTTTCAGGGACTCTGTTAGCAGTTTATCAAGGGTTTCTGTGTTGTAGGGCACAATTTTAAAGGCCTGAATACAAAAAGATAGATTTTAAATCAGGCTATTTCCTGCCCAGCAGATTCAAGGCTGAAAAGCCACAAGCAAAAGTTACCTTCCCAGAAAGTTCAGGACTCCATTCAGCACCCTTACCTGACACATGAATTCCACAGGATTTGCAGCATTAGACAGTAAATTCTCGATTTCTTCCATGTCAGTATAATAGCTGATAATGGATTCACATACCACTAAATCCCCAGAATATATCTTCAGACAAACATTCCCAGATGAAAGATCTGAACAGAAGGAAAGATACTATAAAATGCCCAGGAAGAGCAAAGAGATCATGGCCAGGCATGTTCCATCTGAATGGTGAAGAAACAAACTGAAAAAGCCCTTGGGAATGAGCTGGGGAGGGGAGGAAGTAGAAGGTGTGCAACCAGCATGGGGACCTGAAGTCACAGAGATTATCCTCCTCGGTCTGCAATTTAATTTTTGAAGGATTTTAATATGTTTTGTTTACTATTATAGGCCTAGTGCTCAAGGAATAGGAAGAAAATTTGGCTTTAAAGCACTTTGTACAAAGGCCAGTGGTTGCTAAAGGTGAGGGGTTCTGGGAGGTAACACTGTGTTTCTGGCACTTTGAGCCTGGATCAGCTGACTTGCTCTGCTGTTGTCACTGCTACGTGCTCACTCTTGGGTAGGATTCTACACTACCGGAAGGGGTTTTGAAGGGGAAAGAAAATATTAAAAATACACCAACCACAAACATTAAATTCACAAAAGAGGAAATACAACAAGTAGAGAATATGGAAAAATATTCAACCTCACTAGTAATCAAGGAAATGCAAATTAAAATAATGGACTACTTTTTATAAGCATCAAATTAGCAAAACTATTTAAAGTGACAACGCCTAGGGTAGGTGAATAGCAAAAAAGCCTTAGAGTAATAATATTTCAGCAGGAATTAAGCATGATATGATCCTGTCACCTCAGGACTACTTACCAGGAGCCCTCACAGAAACTGTGTATTCATTCTCCAGCATGGCTTCTACCCGTACAGAGGGAGAATCCTCGGGAGAAAATTCTGCCTCTGTTGCCACCCTCTCATCCAACTTACATCTCACAATGACGTAAACAGTAGTTTCTGCCTGGAATAGGAGAGAAACATGAGTCATGGTCCCCTCTCCCTGCTGGATATCTAAGGGTGCTGAGGCAGAGGGTCCCCCAGGACTCTAGAGCCCCCTCACTAGAGAGAGCTGGGGCTCAGGGAGGACAGGGCCAGACCTGCAGGTGGTCAGGAAACTGTTAACTACCGTTCCAAAAAGACAAGTTACCAAAGACAAGAGTAAACATGTTTAAACTTTATAATAATTTGATGAAATTAATTTGTCTGTTGAATTTAATAATTTTTGAAACCTAGGATTTATACATTATATGTGTATAGCATTTCTCTTTTTTTTGTAAAATAAAATCATCACATCATTGCAGAACTATAAATTTTTTACAAGTCCTTCCCCACAGGTATTTTGAGAAGTGTTGCTCTAGACCAGCCTGCTACTTCTTGTGGGGCTGAGGGACTGGCAGGATTTGGCACCCTCCAAAGCTGGTTAGAAATGCAGATTACAGCCAGGTGAAGTAGAATATGGTTGTAATCCGAGCTACCTGGGAGGCTGAGGCCAGAGGATCATGAATTCAAGATCAGTCTGGGAAACTTAAGTGAGATTCTGCCTCAAAATAAAAAATTTTTGAAAAGAGTAGGATATATATATATATAGCTCAGTGGTAGGGCACTTGGCTAGCATCCAGGAGGCCTTAGGTTCAATCCCCAGTACAGAAAACAAAATAAAGAAAAGCGAAGGAAGAGAAAGGAAGATGGAGACTGTCAAGGCCCTCCTGGACCACTGACTCGGGGTCTGTGTTTTACCAAGATACCCACATAACTCCTATGGACCTTACAGAGTATGAGGTCCTAGCTTAAGCCATCTGGGGCTCTGTTCCTCACACTTCTTGGGAGGGGGCAAAAATAACTCACCAGAGGATTAATTTTTCCAAGGCAACAAGCAACTTGGTTCACTATTTTACCTTGATGTAAAAATCTCACCCTGAGCCTGCCAAATACATTTACAGTTTGAGCTTCCCTAATTCAAAAATCCAAAATCTGACATGCTCCAAAATGTGAAACTTTTTGAGCACCACCATGATGCTGCAAGTGGAAAATTCCACATAAATAGCCAGGAGGGGAGAAGGAATGAGAATCTGGAAAATGGGACAAATGAATAAATGGAATCTTGCTTTAATTTCAAACACCCTCACACTCACAGACACTCACCAGTGTGATCAGAGATTCCTGGGGAAGCAGGAACCAATACAGGGAGATTGAACCGGAAATGTCTACACAAGCCTGGCCAATAGGGAAAAGGAGTGAATGGGCTGAGTATTAAGGTTAGGAAATAGTGAAGACCAAAAAACTGGAGGATGCATGTCCTATGCAAAGGACTTCTCAACCCCAGCCAGTCATCTCAAGCCTAATATTATCAAATTTTCAATCAAAGGAACTGGAAACACAGATTTTATATTCCTAATTTTTTTTTTTTGAGATAAGGTCTCTTTATGTTGTCCAGGCTAGACTCAAACTCCTGGGCTCAAGTGACCCTCCTGCCTCAGTCTTCTGAGTATTTGGGACTCCAGGCACTTATCACCATGATAGTTTATGCCTAATTCATTAAGCACTGTGAAATTCAAACCAAACATACCTATGGGTCAAAATGAGCCCAAAGAAGCATCTGGCAAAACCATGGGAGGAGCCTTTGCCCAATGTCCGATGGCCTCAGCTGTACAGAAAATTACTTGAAGTACAATGAGACCAGTTTTCATGCTTCCTATTGCCAAGGCCTTCAGACCCTGTCACCTCAAGGAGCCCACAGAGGCAAGCTTAGCAATGAGCTTATATATATGAAGAAAGCATTTTGCTGCTCTGAACTATCATAGATGTCACACATTTTTAACAAAAAGAATGAAAAACTACTAATACTATGATAGAATTCAAATGACAGTGGCTTATCTGCTGGACTGTCACAATTAAGTCACCTGTTAATATATGCCTGCCCCTAAAAATGCTAGTCACATGATGTTTAAATACTAGCTAGTGAGTTCTAGCTATCAAGTTTCAAGGTACACCCTTGAGCTAGGCTGTTGGCCAATTGATGGAGAAGCAATCTCTCTGCAGGCCTTACTTCCTCTGCCCAGTGCTAGACCAGGAGGAAAGGATACAGAGCTCTAACTTCAGGGTTGACCTAAGTATCTAGTAATGTCCATGTCTGATGATCTCCTCCGTGTTCTATGTTATTGATCCATGAAACAGAAGTTTTCATGACGACACATATATTCCTGGACTCATTTCTCTTTGATTTAAAAGAGCTAGGTATGCCCAAGGCCCAGGTAATGGGAAACCAAAAGGGAAGGCTATAACTGTACTGAGGTGCAACATGAGAACCTCACTCCCTTTATTGCAACAAAAGCATCTATTTCAAAAGCCTGTGTTCTCACATGAATCTCCCAGGCCCACAGGAGCACCTACCCCACAGCGAATGCGGTCCGGCTGTACCACCATCAGGTTCCCAGAAGCCTCCGTCGTCAGCAGACTCTGCCGCTTTGAGTGGTTCTCTTCTTCAGGCTCTGTGTCAGTAACTGAGTCACAGCCAGAATCTATGGGACAGAGGACACTACTGAATGGGAACAGAAGGAAGGAGAACTAGTGGGCTGGTCCTAGCCCACAAGAGCCCCAAATATTAACACATAGGAAGTAGCTCTGAATGTCAAAACCATCCTGAAGGGAATGACTCAGGAAGTCACAAAAGAGGACCCAATGGGAAAAGTCACCCACCTTCTAAGCCACAGGATAGGGTGACAGCAAGAGGACAATGGTGAAGAACAAGGATGGCAAGACTAGGCACCGGCACTGAGCTTCTGGAAGCTTCACCTCAGGACTTCTTGCAAGGCTCAATGGTTGTTAGGAAAGGAAAGGTCAAAAAGGGACTGACTACTTCAAGGTCATCCTTATAACTCAGAGTCAAGACTGTGCTGTCCAGAAAGCCATAACACTTCAGGGTCATATCTGGCCAGAGTTCCCCCTTTAGAAATGATGAGAAGCAATCATTTTCAACAAGCCTTAGATTAGTGTAACTGGGTTCTAGATCAGTACCACAATCAACACCTGCACTGAGAGAATTAGGACTCACACACATTGAGAACAGGTGAGCAGGGGTGTGCAGATGCATGGGGTATGGCACAGATGACATGATACTGAGAACCTATAAAGCTCTCAGGTAGGGGCTCTGAATCAGGATCCATCACAAGCCTCCTCGTGAGATTATGTGCAAGATTGTGTGTGTGTGTGTGTGTGTTTAATATACATGGTAAACAAACAAACAAAAAAGATGATCCACATCACATATCTTCAGGGAAATGCAAATTCAAACACTGACATGCTATTACACATCTATCAGAATGGTCAAAATCCAGAACAGTGACACCACTAAATGCTGGTGAGGATATGGAGCAACAGGAACCCACGTTCATTGCTGGTGGGAATGCAAAATAGTCCAGCCATTCTAGAAGATAGTTCAGCAATTTCTTATAAGACTAAATATACTTTTAGCATTCAATCCAGCAGTCTTGTTCCTTGGTATCCAGAGCAACTGAAAGCTTAGACCCATACCAGAACCTACACAGATGGTTATAGCAGCATTATTTATAACTGCCAAAACCTGGAAACAACCAACATGTCCTTCAGTAGGTGAATAGGTAAACTGTGGTATAACTAAACAATGCAGTATTATTCAGCACTAAAAAGATATAAGCTAACAAGCTACAAAAAGACATGGAGGAAATTTAAATACATACTCCTAAGTAAAAGAAGCATTAGAAGGCTACATTCTATATAATGCCAACTATATGACATTCTGAAAAGGGCAAAACTATGGAGAGAATAAAGAGATCAGTGGTTACCAGGGTAGGAGAGTACAGATTTTCAGGCCAGGTAAAGTACTCTGTATGACACTAGTTTGATGGATACATGTCATTATATATTTGTCCAAACTTATAGAATATACAGTACCAAGAATTAACTCTAATAGTCACCTTGAGTGATAACAGTGTGGGCTTATCAAGTGTAACAAACATACCATTCTTGTTGCTGGATGATCATAGTATGGGAACCTGTGTGTATGTAGGGGCATGGGCTGTATGAGAAATCTTTAAACCTACCTTCCACTTGATTTTGCTGTGAACCTAAAACTGCTCTAAAAAAGAAAGCATTTTAAAAATAAATCAATACAAAATAAAGGAAATAGTTGGTGAGACGATGACTTGGCACGTAGTGCTGGAAAATACTAGCTACTGGGGGCAGTGGAGGAGGGATGGGGTACTACTTAAATTCTTCCTAGTTCTTATAACTCCAAAATGAAATTTAGACGGATTATAAACTGAAACATACCCCGGCCTGAGGCGGCGGGGGAAGCAGACGTCGGTTTGGTGTGACACCATGGAGGGCGGCGGGGGCAGTGGCAACAAAACCACGGGGGGGCTTGGCCGGCTTTTTGGGGGCCAGCGGAACTGGTTACTCGCACGTGGATTTGGCCGGCATGCGCCTAACTGGTGTGAACCCCGTCTCCTTATTTAAATGTCGATCCACGATATCTCGTGCAGAAGTTGTCAAGCCGATCCTAAAATTCAGATGAAAATTCAAGGAATCTAGAATAACAATTTTGGAAAAGAACAAATTGGAGGACTCTTCAATTTTAAAACTTACTACAAAGCTACAGTAATTAAGACATTGTGATATTAGCATAAAGGTTTGATCTATAGATCAGTGGAATAAAGTTAAAATGAAAAAATAAAAAAAATTAAAACAAAATAAAAATAAAATAAAATATGAAATTTTTAAAAATGAAAATGTGAATGAACATGTTATCATTGGTTTGGGAAAAGATTAATCAAACTGGAGAAATTATGATCTAAATGAACAATATAGACTTGATGACATGAATTTAAAACTTTGATAAACAATCAAAAAGGCAGAAAACCTCCAAACATTCATTATCTAATGACTATATAAATAAAATCTGGTATAGCCATTTAACATAATATTATTCTGTAATGAAAAGGAATGAAGTATTGATACATGCTACAGCATGGATAAATCTTGGAAACAGTAGTTAAGTGAAAGTAGTCATAAGAGACTATATATTATCAATTATAAATATTTATGCTCAGGATAGGCAAATCCATAGAGGCATAAAGTAGGTTAATGGTTGCTTCATGCTATAGAGTTGGGGGGGGTTAGGGGCATAATAACTAAAGGATATGTGACTTCTTTTTGAGGTGAAGAAGATATAATAAAATTTATTGTGGTGATAGTTGCACAAATCTGTGAATATACTAAAACTCATTGACTATACATTTTAAATGGATGAATTGTAAAATACATGAATTATATCTCAGTAAAGCTGTTAGTCCAATAGCAAATCACAAACTGGTCAAAAATTTGAAATAAATATGACAAGGGGCTAATCTCCTTAAGATATGAAGAGGTCACAGAAATCTTTTCAAAAATATCCAAAGCCCAACAAATGGACAATTACCAAAGGAAGAAATACAAATTACTTCTCCACTCAAAAAAAAAAAATACATATATATGTATAATTCATTCTTATATTCATCACAGAATAGAAATGAAAGCAACACATGACTATTTTACTTCTTTAAATTAAAAAACTATTTCAGGTTTTATCAGTATATTGTCTAGAGGTTACTGCAGGACAGATACCCTCACTTGATGCTGAAAGGTATACAGGCCTTCTGGAAAGCTAAATGCCCATATCCAAAGAAAGAGAAAGCCTTTACAATGTTCACACCTTTTGCCACATAATTTTACTTCCAGAAGTCTCTCTTAAGGAGCAAAATAACTGTTCAAAGTGTACATGAAGATAATGAACCAAGATATCTTTGAATTGCATCACTGACAAAACTGAAAACAACCTGTCTGAAAGAATATTAAAAACATTCTTTTCAAAGAGTTTCAAGTGACATGAGTAAAAGCATGTGAAGCAAAAAAAACAGGATATCAAATTATGTATCTTATACCACAGGACCTCAATTACAGTTTAAAAATGCATTTTAAAAGGTCAGAAGAGAATGTGTGGCTGGATTCTGCATGACTTTTCTCCCTTCCTCCCTCCTTTTCTTCATTCCTTCATTCCTTAAATGTATTTCATATTTTCCACAGCACTTACTTTGATTATAGGGGTGGGGTGATGAGAAAAGTAGCAACTGAATCTATTGGATAATCATCTTGTCCATGAAGCCCAGCTGGACATAAATGAGTTTGATCCTAACTGTGTCCTTGGCAGCTGTTTCCAGCAGCCACCTGGGCCACAAAAATGCCTCCTTCCAGCAGGTCCCTCATGGAGTGACCTTAGGTAGCTACTAGCAGTTCACTCATTTCAGGAAGCCAACCAAGATGCCATTCACTCTGTAAGGTGACGCTAGTAGTGCTGATTGACAAGCCACTGTGGGCTCCTTCACAGTACACTACAGAGAAGTCAGGGCATTGCAGCAGGGCCAGGGTGCAAGCACTTCAGCAGATTGCAAGTTTCCTTTGAAGGAAAAGCCAACTCAGACATAAACAGTGCTGAAACCCACCTGACTGAGTGGGATGATCCCAAACTTTCCCATTTGAACATGGAGATCCCTCTTTCATCCCTACCCAATTCCAGAAGACAATACATCTTGCTGAGACTCAAATCCTAAACATCTGCTAAAGGCATTCTGGAAACCAAGGCTCCTCCCCAGTGTAAAGCATTATTAAGATCCCAGTAGTATCCTAAACTGCAACCACTATCAAGATAAAGTACCACTTTAAAATTTAACAGTATCCACTCAGCTTTTATGAAGTCTAGAGAACCTCTAGACTCTCTGTACATCCAGTTTCCCCAAATCTCAACTATAAAGGGCGCATATGGCAAACACTTGAATTCAGTGGCAGAGAATTTGCCTGCTTTCTCTCATTAAACAGTAAGAAGAAGCTAACATGGTACGTTTCACCTTTGCCCTTGCTGCCAGGCAACTCGGTGACAAACTCAGTTCTTAACCCCTTTTACACCCTTGTCCTCCTGGTCCTGCCTTTTTCTCGTCTTTATATTGTGTTTAATTTTGAAGCCTGCTTCAAATACTTGGGGGATTCATTCAGTAGGTAAATCGCTGTCTCTCAAAACTGTGACAGAAGTCCTCAGACACCTTCCTTGTGAGAATTCATATTTGGGCTCTTCATTTACTTGATAATGCCTTTAAAATGAGATTTTAGAGTTTTTCAGATTATCTGGGTGACCATCACATTTTAATTGGGTCTTGCCATGGGACTTTAGTACCTGTATTTGTTTGTTTTTGCAATCATTTTGTGACTAGATCCTGCTATGCTAAATGTTGGAGGCTGATAAGAAAAAAAGAAAAGAGACAGGAAAATATGGAAATGAGGCATTTGTGCCTAGTGAACACAGATTTTCCTGTACACTGCTTTCAACAGAGAAATGTGGTGGGAGATCCAGGGTCTGAAATGCCATAGGGAGGATGCAACAAGCTTCTCTTTTCCCCCACAGAATCAGTAAGACCAGCACTTCTGAGCTGCATTTACATCACTGCTCAATAAA